AGATAAAGTTACATTTGATTGTGATAAAACGCCATCCTGTTTAAACCACGTCAAGGGTTATTTCTGAAATAGTATGGAGCTCAAATGCCTTTTCTCTTGCAGGTTTATCACAAGGTGAGTTCCTTTTTTTATTTCCTACTTTTTAAACACATGCTCTACAGTACAGGTTAGCTCTGAGTGTTAGTGAGGCTTGCTAATGTGAACAAAGACGAGATTACGTTCAAAACACGTCAGGCATTGTTTCTGATTGCAATTTTCTGTGGGTCCGCTGCCGATTTGACGTCAGATCGGATGGACACGTCACAGCGGATGGAAATCTGGATCAGCTTTGTTGTAGCCCCGTTTTTAGAGATTTGGGTACGGAGGAAAAGAGAGAGGGTTGTATTTTCTGACGCTGCGTGAGTTCCCCGACGCACTGGGGACACATATTTATGTATAAAAGACATCACAAAGTGCATTTTGCATGATAAGTCCCCTTTAAAGCAACCCAACGGAAGTTTCATGTAAGTTTAGTTATTTCACTCGTAGCTCGGGCTGCGGGGGTGCTAGAGACGGGAGCATGTTGATGCAACCTTCCTAGCCGGAGATACAATAAACAATATACCTCCGTTGGGTCGCTTAAAAACAAATATCGTAAATCGAATCGCAATATTTGTCAGAAAAATCGCAATTACATTTTTTCCCAAAATCGTGCAGCCCTAAATTTGTAATAGTCCTCTGACTTCATACAATTTTTTTTTTTACAGTTGATGAATCTAGACATAAATGATGACCATTAAAACCAGACCTTGCTTACCTTCGTGTGTGGACCCAATTACGTGCCAAAATAGACAGCAAATATACTCAAGGCCTGAATAGGACAAAATGTCAAGGCTGGCGAGAAAGTTTACTTACCCGAAGCAATGAGGTCATCCTCTTTCTGCCAGGAACGAAAAGAGAGCAATAAAAGTTAAGTCAATCAGTGGTGGGTAAACAGGACAATGGTTCACCACTGCTTCAAACAGAGAAGGGGTTATATCATGGAAACACATTCTTCTAAACACAGCTCACTTGAGGTGTGGTAAAGGTATATATCCTCAATTGGTTTGAAACATAATTTAATATTTGAGGCTTTCTTCGTGGGAGAATGTTAACTGTTTAAAAACACATTTAATTGAAAATGATATTGTGGTGGTTGACCCGATAGCCGAAAGGTTACGGCGCATACCACATGGTGAGCAAATAATTCCCCGGTCCGATTCTCGGTAGTAATCTCAAAAAAAAAAAAAAAAAGGTATATTTTTATGTAGAGAATCAGTATCCTGTTTTTTTGGACCAATGTTCAAATCCTTTTGCTTAAGCGCATAACAAGAGTGATTGTGTATTGGGAAGTATAATCTTTCAAAACGCGACTGACCACACATCAGTACTGTGTCACGGCCCGTCCACACAGCGGCGTGCGTCGAAGCTTCCAACGCTTCAGCCCATTCACTTTGAATGGGGTGACGTCACTTTTAGCCGAATTGCATTTTGGGAAGCGACGTGGAGCGTGGCTGGCATTGCTCGCTTCAAAAGTTGAGCAATGTTCAACTTTTGACGCCTCGACGGAGGCGTCAGCCAATCGAATCATATGCCAGTACAAGCTCTAGCCAATCAAACCGCGTGCTTGTGTGTCTGGGGCGGGAGATTAATGTGATTGGTTGTTGGTCGAGTGTCAGACACGCCCGCCGGCAAGCGTCAACGCACGCCGCTGTGTGGACGGGCCGTTACTCTGTATGCATCAAGTGTAGCCACTGAGGATGGACTGAAGATGCTGAAGAGCTTATGTAGCTCCCTGGCCCATTGTGGACAATTTGTTATCAACTATAATTCTTAGCTCTCGAAGAACCATCCATATGTAGTCTTGCGTCTCAGGACAGCAGTCGAAACTTCCCACAAAAACAGGAATGTGCAGACTCCCTTGCGATTGTCTCCTTCGCATAACATAAAACAGAATAATACAAGAGAGTTTTTGACATTTCCATGCGCCTTGCCTCGGAGTGCTGCAGCTTTTGATCGGATAAAAGCCAAAGAAGAAGATTTGCAAAAATCTGTATAAGTCCCTGAGCTGGCAAGTTTTCGAAAAGGCGACGGAAATATTTTTACAAGTGCATGTGAGACAGAGGTCTAAGGATAACCTCCATGTGACACCAAGAAAATAACTGTTCCAATGGTGTGGTATCCATAGTTTTAAGCTGTGTTTTTGTTGCCTTGAGTCTCAATACTTGACAGACGTGGAAATAGAAAAATGTAGGTTGAGCTTAAGATGATGCCTTCAAGAAAGCAGAATCAAAGAGAGACATCGGCCCAACCTAAATGTGATAGTATGGCGTCTTCATGTGCCACAACCTTACTGCAAGTTGCACTCTTCAAAGACATGGCACTCCTCCAAAGTCACCAGGACAAATGATGGAATAACAGAAGAAATGTGGAAAACCTTGCATGTTGACACTGATCTGGTACCACAAAATGCTTACCAGCTGTGACAGTGATGCTGGTATTGTTTTCCTAAAAAAGTGGTCTGGAGACTCCTACTGCATCAGAATCATTTTTTGAGTACTTTTTGAGGACGAGGTGTTAATGTATCTGTTTTTTGTTAAGAAGGTAAAGTTGATGTAGTTGACAAATGAGGGTCGATTCCTAATAGATGTGGTCCAAGCAGGAAGGGTGAGGGGGTCATTGCATCTCCCACTCAACACCCCTGACCCAATATGGCGTCACACAACAGGTGTGTAATTGGGATCAAAATAAAGATGAATTTTGGCAATGAGGGGGTTGGTAGTTGTAAGGGCATATTTTCGTCACCCACTTTGCATCCCTGGTCCAATATGATACCATCGCAAGAGGGTCTCTGGTATAACTTTGTCCCACAAAATGCATGGTGTTTGGCTGGCAGAACAAAAGCAAGTAAGGTAACATGATTGTCCGGCAGTGGCTCAAGTCAGTAGGGGCTTGGACTGGGAGCTGTAGGGTCGCCGGTTCAAGTCCCCAACCAGACGTAAAATATGGAGTGTGGACTGCTACTTGGAGAGGTCCCAGTTCACCTCCTGCCCTGCCGTGGTGCCCTTGAACAAGGCACCAGACACCCCACTTCTCCCATTGCTCCTTGGGCGCTGTACACTAGCTGCCCACTGCTCCTAGTACTAGACTCCTGGTACTAGGATGGGTTAAATGCAGAGGCCAAATGTCACTGTGTGCTCTGCATGTGTGACCATTAAAGAGGGTTTCATCCCTCCCAATTATATGATACACAGCGGGCAACGTAGTGGTGGCAGTGTTGTGAGCTTGGAAAGATGGTGACATTTCACATATCGCTGCTCCTTATTTCCTGCTGTGAATTTTTATATTCTGTGGAAGAGTATAAAACATATATATCCTGTGGAAAATCTGATTGTTAAAAAATAAGACATGGCAAAAACAAAGTAAAGTAAAGTGACTTGTAAATGTACTCATGGTTGTATTAGCTACATAAGTATAGACACATTTTACAGACTGCATATCTTTCTGAAACAATTAGTTGTGTTTTGTACCTTTATATGTGTTGGTACAGTCAAGTGTATCTTGTACAAGGTATCACCCCTTATGGATTTTTCACAGACCTGGATTCAAAGAAAAAACATAAAACCGTCAGTATCACAGCTTTTTACAATTGTAATGATTTAGATTTAGATTCTTTAGAAGAAGTACTTGATCTTAATTAAAAGTAGAAATACCAGAGTGTAGGAATACTCTGTTACAAGTAAGAGTCCTGCATTCAAAATGTTACTCAAGTGAAAGTACATAAATATTGTCATCTAAATATAAGTCGCGAAAATAAAAGAACTCGCGATGCAGATTGACTCATTTCAATAAGTAAAATTATAATATATGCCTCTGAATTGTAGTAGAGTACAATTACAAAGTAGCATAACATGGAAATACTTAAGTAAAGAACAACCTCAGAAAAGTACATTACTTGAGTAAATGTACTTAGTTACATTACACCACTTATAACATATGTAAGACATCTCTACGTATAACACAGTACCAGTCAACATCAACTCAAACTACAGCCTCGATAATAACCCCTATGCATGTTGTTCACTCACTAAAACACGCTGCATTCATTTCAAAACCGAAGCTCGTGTAAGCTCACTTGAGCTATCTCACCTTGCACTCAATAAAGTTAGCCTCCTCTTCGTATGGTGTTTCGAAGTGGTCCATTGTCTTATTTTGTTACACTTGTGTTACCTGAATTCACAAGAAAACCGAGAGTTCCTAGGTTAGCTAACGATTAGCTTTACTGGCTAGCGGACGCAACCACGCTATCGTTACTTTTTACTTTAATGTGGACCTGCCGGTGTTAATTTGGCGAAAAGTAACGAATGAGAGTTTCTGTAGTTTATAATTATTCTATTCAATCAGGTTTACAGATGTGGGGAAAATGCTACGATGGCTAACTGTTATTAATACTTCCTGTGTGTTTGTGCACATTTCGCCGTAGGAAACACCGGACAAGGTGTTTTGTTCCTAGCCTTACACATTGACACGTTAAACAATATGCAACAAATATGCATTATAAAATAAATATGTATCTCAAGTGTCAGCTAGTAAAAACCAATCAATTTGATTTATATTGATTTATAAGAATAACTAACTGTTTTACTTGACAGTTATGTACACTCTGTTACACTAAAACGTGGAACTGTATAACTGACATGATTGTGTGTATTGAGTCTTTTTACCTTTGTTTCATTACATTTCCTTTTGTTACAATTTGATTTAATATAGGATTGTTTATTCTATTTATAATTATGTTTGATTTAATATTTCTCCATACCATTATGTTGAGTAGGCTACATATCAGCATTGTTTGTATTTGAACGTTTTTTGAATAGTTTGAAAAACAAAAGTGGATGACTGTTGATGAATGCCTTTTCACACACCTGTTTCCCCCTTGAAAGGATAATAACATGCAATCACATCAAGAGGACAGAGCTGCAAAGATTTTACATTTTCTGTTTATTTGGTTCTAAGAAGAATTTGCTTCATATGTACAAAAACAAACAGCTTAAGTCTGGCTTTGGGCACCTATCAAGCTGTGTGAGGCATATGCACAGCATTCAGTGTGGACTTAAGGATACATCTATGAAGCAGTATGATACAGTAACCAAGACAACAGACTCCTTCTTTCAGGACAATGGAGGTCTGAGCAACAATAAAGATGTAAAGAGAAACTTCAGTAATGTATTTTGATGACCATTTCACCATCAATTACAGGTATAACTCCCATCATTGAAATGCCAATGTGAATTTGTACACTGATCCATAAATGATTCTTGTCACAAAGAAGCATCATGTAAATGATAATTAAACAATTTGGTTTGTTTTCAGGGACATGGCTTACTACTCAGCTTCACAATATGGTTTCCTACTACTAGTACTTTTCTTTTATCGCACTCCATAAAACACCGATCTATAACCAAGAGAAAGACAGATTCATTTACAGATATAGTAAAAGAAAATGATGACAGTTGTCCAAAAGATCAGAAATTATTATAAAGGACACACTAAAGGGATATTCTCTGGTGCATTATCTTCAGTCACCATAAATACAAAAATATCACACCAGCGTCACCCATGCCACTTTAAAGCTGTGAAATATAGGGGCCAAAGCATGAAGGGCCTGATGGCAATGAATCAAAATGTACTGATAAAATACGGCACAAAGAGATGAGCTCACAGAAAATAAGACATTTCTGTTATTTGAAGCCATATGGATGAATAATGTGTTAAAGACATAATGGGAAAAACCCTCTTTCATCACACTTTCCAAAAATAAGAACAGAGGATTATAGTCAAATATTTAGGAGTTCGGTGAGATGTTTCAGTAGCAGGAGGCCACCAGTATGTGGCCAGAAGGAGAAACTTCAGTCAGTCAAGAGATGTGGAGTCGTCATGGAAGATTGTTCAGACGCGATCGCAGCTCCTTCCGAACCTGGGTCACCCTCGCCAGTTTGCGTTTGTATTCCTGAAAAAGTCAACAGCAAAAAAAAAGTCCATCAGAGCTCAGATATCTTGAAATTTGAATGATATTGGTATTTTTAAATGTTCTCTCAACCTCAAAAGCAATTTTTTAAAACAATGTATGGCAAAAAGATAACATAAAAATGGAAATGATATATCAATCATGTGATAAGATTATATTGCATATTGCTTTATACAATGTGATGTTACCTAATGGTCTAAGTGAATTCTAATGGAAGTGTGGATTTTTCGTCGAAAAACAATATGCTGAGTTATCTCTCACATTAAAATGTTATTTGAAAACCAACACATATATGAATTAGGTTTGGTGAAAAAATGTAATATATATGTTTTGGTTATTACGCTTTAAAACCATTTAAACTCAATGACAAAAATGTATCACTACTTTTGCCACAGCTCCATGACTGACTGCAAGTTCACTTCCATCTTTAAAAAAAAAAAAAGGGAAGATCAAAATAAAAATGTTTAATAATTGATTTTTTCATTACAAAGTGGGTTCAAGTTTTATATTTATTTTACCGTCTGTACTAAAGACAACCTACAAACACTGTACGGTAGTGGCACAATAGACTAAGACAAATATATGCACTCATTTATATTCTTTAAAAAGACCCAGTAACATGGAGTGACACTAAAATCAAATGTATTTGTTTGCCTAACAGCTGATGCATGTCGATGTGGTGCATTTCTTCACCATGTTCATTATGAAAAATCCATCAATTTACATTATGTTGTATATACTAACAATACCAGGCTATATAATCCTGCTTTGTACCAGAATTCATAAAAACCTTGCCTCTATTCTAAGTTTGACCTGTAATATGAGTTTTCCTGTATTTGAGCTCTACCCATTTTAATGAATTAATCTCAATTAAATGTAACAATGAGTGTGTAGGTAGCATTTACTGTGTGTCAATACTACATAAAGAAAATAATTCTGGTATTAAAGACCATCTTTCAAATTGTGTACAATGCATTTACCACCAGAATCTGCATGTGTTACAGCAAAATAAAAGCACTCACAAATCAGTTTATTTTTTTTTTTCATTTTTTTTTTTTTATTACATAGAGTTGACTGGTTGAAGATACAAATTTGAAATACTTCATCCTCTCGGCCACCTGTGGATAAAGGCTGGACAGTTATTCTCCCCAGAACAATGAGAAAACAAGAAACTCTGTTGCCAATTTTTCCATTTCTAGTATTTTGGTCGATACTTACCTTTTGGGAAGTAGATATGCATTGAGTTAACATCGAACTGACTTTAAAGTTAAAAGAACAGGAATCATTGATTTCAAGCGTATCTAATCAGGTTTTTCTAATGCCAGCACACCTGACCATCAATTTAAATCTACAGTCTGCCTGTGTTGCTGAAGCAGACATACAGTGTCATTGCAGAACTATGCAACATGCTGAAATACATGAAAACAAATGTTAGTTCATAGGAAGTCTCAGTAAACAGCTACATGGAACAAATAATCAATAACATGACACAAAAGAGAGGCAGAATCCTGCACTGGGTCAGATACTGGGTTAAAACATATTTATAGAATTTCCCTGGCAGCGGTTACAATAAAATGCAGGCTGCAGCAGGTAAAAATATATTTGTTGTGTTCTCTGTAAAAATAGGAAATAATCAAATGTAAATAATGATGCAGTATTTTCAACATGCAAGTCAAAGCTATTGTTTTTGTTTTTAATGTGAAAAAAAGGATTCCGAAAGTTAGTGACTGTGTTCAATCAAGCGTCAGTGTGTTTTATTAACATGTCAGGATCCAGATTTCACATGATGATAATTTTGGGTCACAAGTCAGTTCAGTGCTGAACCCTGGGGGTGCAGGTTTCCATAACTGGACTCGTGTAGGACTCTGAGGTGAGGTAGACAACTCATACAGTATTTAGAAGAAAAAAAGTGATTTACGCACTTCAAGTTTCTGCTCGTTCTGGGTCAGGCCGTCCTTCTGGCTTTGAAGGAAGACCATTAGTGTGCGTGTGAGCTGCCTCCTGTCATCAATCTCTGCAGCCAGGCGGCCGCTGTAGTCTGCTAGCAGCATGCAGGCCTCCTCCACCAGCCGGGAGAGCCGCTCTCCTGACTCCTTATCTAAAGCACAGGAAGCACACACAGAGCAGGGCACCATGTTTAAACATTATCAGCCTAGAGGGCTCAACTGGGGGTCATTCAGTTATCCATCAATACTGGTGCAATGTAAATAGCTGCTGTATAATCAATCATTGTTTCCTATGGAACACTGAGGCATTTTAGCCCATTTAGATTTTTCTAGTTTCAGTGTTTTGCTCCATGACACTTCAGTTTGTTTGTAATATTTGTTTGTTTAAGTTTAAGCAAGGGTGCTTTGCTTCATAGCCTTTTAATGTACAGTATGTCAGAGTGAATACATTCATTGTAAGTTAAGGGATGGTTCTTCACGCACTGACTTGACCTCTAGTTCATAGCCATTTTTATTACACTGCCATTCCTTGGTATAATAGATTATCAAAACTCTTAGATGACACACATAGAGGAGGTCCCTCGTCTTTAACTATTAGCAGTTGATTTACTAAGTACTAGAGAGGTAACGATTTGGGTCGATAAAACGATTAAATGATAGTAAATCATTGATCAAAAGTGAAAACATCTATACATATGTGTGTTAATGAGCCATGGAACTGACTTGTGTGTGTAAACAGAGTATAGGATAGTTTTCTGTGTCCCGCCTCCTACCTGTTATACTGTGAAGTAGCGACATGTCGTGCACCTCAGCAGGAAGGGAGGAGATTCGCTGACACAGCACGGAGTCGCCAGAAGCTGCATTTTCCAGCTCCTGCAGGGCTCGGATTAACTCTGCTGTCTGAGGTGGAGGGAGGATCAGAGGCAAGGAGGGGAGGTTGGGGGAGCAAAGGGAGGAGAGAAATTAAGAAATAATTAAGTTGCAGTTGACATTAGTATAACAAACAAACAATATTAGAGAGGTGGCAGAGAAAGGAAGTATTATGATACATTTCTTGCAGAAGCAACTTTATCATTATTAAAAGGAGGATGTGGTTACGCTATACCCTGTATTTATGGCTGCATTGTGTGTTGAGTAAATCACCTGTGGGGGCTCGGTGGGGGAACTCTGAGAAGCAAAGTCCTCATCAGCGGGTCGGATCTCCTCATACGACCTCTTCTTAGCCTTCTTCGCGCCATCTAGGAATTACAATGTTATTGGAAATGTTTGGATCAAACGAGTCAGAAACAATCTTTGAAACTGGAAACCAATTCTGAAATAGTATGAGGCTAAATTAAACGTGAACGACGAAGCCACGATAGTTATTTGGTCACATCAGCTTATTGTAAATCATGTTAACTTACAGAGGACTTGTGAGAGCTGATCCAGCAGGATGTTCTCGTACACAGCTCGCTCCTGCCAGATGGACAAGACCCGACCCAACTGTTTCTTACAGCCCTCCTCTCCATCTCTGGAGCGGGACATACAGGTTAACCAACTTTAAAAAACTCTGATGGAAGGTCTGGACAATACATGAATACAATGTTATTAACTCTTCAGTAGAATGTATATCAATATGTTTAGGTACGTCCCATCAGGTAAATGTAAATCAAACCTAAAAAAGGCACAGTAAGCAGGATTTTCATAAAGATAAATATATATATATATATATATATATACCTGTTTACATGTTTGAATGCCTCAACGATGACCGGAGCAAAGTCCTGAGTGAACTCTGGTCCTTTCTTCTTGCTGTTCTGAATGACGTCATTGGCCAAGTAAAGGAAGGTCAGCTTGCGTGATAACGGAGCTGCAAAAATTAAAATATACAAACATACATATATTACAGTTAGGCATTCTGTAATAACTTATGAGTGAAGTTTTAGCTTAGTAGTTAAAATAACCTTCTAAAACTACATATTTTAGTTTATTTAAGTCTTCATCCGAGAAATTATTTCAATGGAAAAAAATGTAAATGTTCCCAACCAAGCAAGAACATTATGTACTGAAGTAACTATGTTCTGAGTATCAACCACAGCAAATTATAAATCACAATCCATTAATGGCAATTTACTCACACAGTTTATACTTCGTTGTAGCAACACATAGGGCCTTAGAGAGGGGTTAGGGCAGTGATAGAAAGCTGGCTCTTTATTTACATTAGAAGAAAAAAAATACTTTCGTGGATTACTTCATTTTCATTGTGAGTTAGAAAATGGTAAGCGGGCCACCCAGTAAACCATCTGGTTGGTGTTCAGTGTTTAACAATTTCCTTTTTTTGGGTTATTTTGTACTATATTTTCGCATGGCTTGTTTTGTATGTCTTCTATTAATGGCACAGTTACATCATACAAGTAATGGTGCATTCTCCAGAGAAATGTGTTATCTCTGCCATTGCACACTGCTTTCAGTCCTCAGACACGCTCCTAAAATACAACAGCCTCTTGAGATATCATTAGGCTGTTAACTAGCAGTCTCAGGAAAACCGTGCCAGTAGTAGAGAATAAGCTACAACTACAGATATATCAGACATTCATACAACAGGCTTTTTCAATCTAATTCAAAACAATATTAACAACAACTCAATCTGTTTGTACTGTAACCTAATTTAGTCAATACATTGAGTGAACCCACTAAATTGTACTTTTGTGATTCAATGTGGATAAACATTTGTACAGTCTTAAAATGGAATTGCACTAACACTGACAAATGTAACGCATTCAGTATTTTGTTTGTGCAGTTACACTTTTTCAAACATTGCACCATGGCTTTTTTGAATATTAAGTTGACATTGCAAATTAAAAAAGGTGTTAAATATTCAGAGTCTCATAAAAAAACGTCATGTTGCCGCATAAATGCTCGATGGAGTTAAGCATTTACAAGAAAACGAAATTATCATATGGATATGACATCAGTCAACTTCAATACACTAATGTACAACAATACTCATGTAACTTCTTTTTTCTCAGGTTATCTCCTGGATAATCCTTCAGCATTATATTGTCCTACACTTGATTATGTCTTGCGAACTTAGTTTTTGTTGAACATCGGAAGTTGGTGTGTTTTAAAGATATCATTTAAATTAAAGTCACCTTTGTGGATATTTGCATAAGAAGAGAGGGTTAATTCATAAAAAAACAAATTCATAAATGAACGCTTGAGTTGTCTCACAACGCCCATAAGCTACAAAAAAAGCAGGTCAATCCCATCAGCTAACAACAACAGTAGCTAGAGTATTAGTGAACTGCATTTAAGCTTAAATTATTGATTGACATGTTTAAGTGTCTTTAACAGAACAGTTATGGAAGTACGAAATCACTGGAACAAAAAGGTGAAATAAATTAACTGTTCAGCAATCTATAAAGAGAACATAAATGTAAAGTTATTTTAAACATAATTATAAAGCAATAAATGCTGCAAAAATCGACTGTTCACTTGTATTGCTGATTTTGCACTGCCATTTGATTTTTCTAAATTATACATTATCAAATACAGCTGCCACAAACACAACCCTCTCTATTTTCCACCATACCCAAATCTCTAAAAAAGGGGCTGCAACGGATCTGATAAAAACTGATCCAGATTTGAACACTGTCCTGACGTCAGGACGGTGGCGCTACGGCTATTGGGCCAACTCTCCACCTATCAGGGGAATGTGGGGTTGGGCCAGCGCTGGAGACGCTATATACGCCATGTGCCAGACCTGTAATTGGCGCTGTAGTCTGCCACAAAAGCAGCGAAGAAGACTTCCCGCACATGGTTGCCCTTCTGTTTATTCTCCGCTGTGGCTCTTTTTCTCCCTCCCCGAGGCAAGCGTTTGTTCTATTTCGTATATGGCTTCGCCCTCTAAGGCTATCGCTATTGGGTAATCCCCCTGCGCCCCCGCGCAGCACTGAAACACTTGTAGACCACGCCCCACCCTCGGGCTCCCTTCCGGTATAAATAGGAAGGAGGCCCGACAATCTGCTTCCTCTTTTCTTCAGCAAACCACGGCAGTTACTGAAGCACAGAACAAAATTCATCATCATGAGCAACAACTGCGTCCGAGATTGTCCCTCAAGTGGCTCAGGATATATCATGAGCTATGACCAGCACGCAATGTGCGAATCCTGCCTGGGGCCAGAGCACGCGGACGCGGCTCTCAGCCAGCAGGTCGCTTGCTCACATTGTGCCTGTCTCCCATCAGCCGACAGGAATCGAAGAGCGGACGCTCTAGCTGCTGCGGCCGAGGAAGACGATTGGTCCGTCCAGGAACAGGTGGACGGCAGCATGTCCCTGGAGCCGAGTCCCGGGCAGGAGTCGGACGACTCCTACCCCGTCTCCCTCCATGGTTCACCGTGCGGTTCTCCCCTCCCTCCTCTCCACCGGACGGGGGAGACTGAGGCGGAGCAGGGTACTGGTTTGGCGGCCGAGCACGCAGTCCCCTTCTCCGTTGCCGGCGTTAGGTGGCATCATGGTGGAGCTGCCGGAGATCATCTGCAGGGCGGCCGCCTGCAGAGATCTCCCCGTTCCCCTAGGTCGGGAGAGGGTGGCTCTGGACGACATGGCCGGAGTTTTTTTCCGGGTTCAGACGGGAAGGAGTGATCCGGTCTGGCCGCGCTTCCCCGCCATTAGGAGGTACCAGGAGGGGGCGACGGCGAACCCGAGGACCCTGAGGGCTCCGGTGTCCACCTTTGTTCCCTTCACTAAGGTGGAGGGATTCACGGAGGATTGTTTCCCAACCACCCCCTCTCTGGAGCCGAGCCTGACGGCGTTCTTTGGGGTTAAGCAGGCCAACTTGATCGCCATACGGCGCCCTACGTTGGCCTCCCCCAAGGACCAGTATGTCGCCCCCCAGGCTGACCGGGCGCATCAGTGTGCGTTTCAGGCGGCGGCAAACAACATCGCGTTGCTGTCCAACTCAGTGGTGACGCTGGTGGAGCGATCCGCCACCTTGGCACCAGAGGAGGCGGAGGAGATCGGTAAGGCGGCCAGCACGGCGCGCTCACACTGTGCGCGTCCGTTGCGGTCACCCAGGCGAGGATCGTTGCGTGGATGACGCAGATCCAGTGCCACCTCTGGCTGCAGCAGGCGGCTGTCACAGAGCCAGCCAGAAAGGTTTTGCTGGACGCTCGGTGGAATCCATGAAGGCGGCGGCGGAGCAGGCGGACGACATCCGCCAGCACGTTGGCTGGCTCCAGCCTGCGGCGAGGTCACAGCGGCAACAGCGCCCGCAGCAGCAGCAGCGGCCAACCCGGCCACAGCGGCAGGCGGAGAGACGCCCACAGCAGCCGAGGCGTCAGACTCGTCCGTCGGCGGTGGCAGGGGCGCCTCCCCGCATCTCCGCCCCCCCGCCAGCGGTGGGTCAACGGGGTGTGAGGTATTCCCGCTCGTCGGCTGCTCCACGAGAGTTCAGTCACCCCCTGACGAAACGTTTTCTGCAAGGAGTACGAAGACTCAGACCGGTATCACGCGCACTGGCGCCTCAGTGGGATTTTGCTTTGGTGTTACGAGCACTAAGCAAAGCCCCATTTGAACATTTAGAGCAGGTTCCCCTTAAAATGTTATCAGACAAAGTAGTACTGCTTTTGGCTCTAACATCAGCGAAAAGGGCGAGTGATTTGTCTGCTCTCTCTGTGGCTCCGTCATGCCTCCGGATCCAAGGAGATGGCAGCTCGGCTGTGTTACACCCTAACCCAGCCTTTATGCCAAAGGTCATCACAAGCTCTTTTAGGTCAAGAGTGATCACCTTGGATGGGTTTTTTCCGCCGCCTCACAGGTCGGAGGAAGAAGCCACATCTCATCTCCTCTGTCCGGTGCGTGCGCCGTCTTGCTATGTGGCGCGCACGGCTGCCTGGCACCGTTCTCAGCGCCTGTTTGTGCACTATAGAGAGCGCTCGATCGGGCAACCTCTGTCTGCACAACGGCTGTCACACTGGCTGTGTGAGGCGGTGTCACAGGCATATGTCTCCTCTGGGGTGGAGCCCCCGGAGAACATCAATGCGCACTCCACCAGAGAAATGTCCTCCTCCACGGCTTTGCACGGAGGAATGTCAGTGGAAGACATTTGCACTGCTGCATCTTGGTCTTCCCCCTGTTCATTTATTCAGTTTTATTTGAGGGATGTCTCCCATTCCTCTGTGACACACCCTGTACTGGGTGTCATGTCAGAGTGAGTGACATCAGGGATCCAGCTGTGCGCCTCTCGCCTGCCTCCGGCACGAGGAGAGAGCCTCCTTGTTCCCTCTTATAGGAGGGATGTTCCTTTTTCCTCTGACACACTTTGTACGGAGTGTCTTGTCAGAGTGACGGAGCGTCCACACAGCAGCGTGCGTTGACGCTTGGCGTGTCTGAATCTTGGGGATTTTTTGCGAGCAACGCGACCAACAACCAATCACATGAATCTCCCGCCCCCGACATACAAAGCAATAGCAATGTTAAAACGAAGTAAACTGGATATAAAATCCCCAAACAGGCGAAAATCTACCAGTTTCACCCACTGTCTCCCTCCATGCCTCGCTCCTCCGGTTTGTATCCCGGTAGATGAACAGAGACTGATCATACAGCACCGGGTGATTCACTACCGCTATAATGAATTTTCCCTCCATTTTTTGGAATATGAGGAAATGACCCGCGTAGTCTCTCCCAGCATACACGCGGTTTGATTGGCTAGCGCTTGTACTGGCAGATTTGCATAAACGGGATTTCATTGGCTGACGCTTCTGCCGAGGCGCCAAAAGTTGAACATTGCTCAACTTTTGAAGCGAGCAACGCCAGCAACGCTCCACGTCGCTTCCCAAAATGCAGTTCGGCTAAAAGTGACGTCACCCCATTCAAAGTGAATGGGCAGAAGCGTTGGAAGCTTCAACGCACGCCGCTGTGTGGACGGGCCGTTAGTGACGTCAGGGATCCAGCTGTGCGCTCTCCTGCCTGTCTGCACGCAGAGAGCTGCTGTTCCCCCTCTATGGTCGCGGGGCAAGGTGGGACCTTCGTCTCTACTTTCTCACAGCGGCTGGTATGTATTGTTCCCAGCCTTTATCCCTTCAGGGAACATAGGCATGTTTGCTATGTTCAGGTACGGTGATGCGCCATTAAGCATGGCACAACAGGCATGGGGTGTTATTGAGCAGGTGTGTCTGTGCTTCTAGTGCCGGGCGGACCCAGTGGGGCGCAGACTACATCATGCTTCGCCCTTAACCCAATAGCGCTAGTCTCCGGGATCCGGAGTCGAGGCTGATCCTCTTGCTGTAGTCCTGTGTCTTGGATCCTCTATCCTGAGTTCTGGATTAAGTCGTGGACTTCGGGTCGTGGCTGAACCTGTCTCTGCGGTCCTGCCTTGGGTCTCGTCATGCTGCTTCCCTGATGGCTTCCACAGGATTGTAGCTGACATCCTCGTGGATTAATCTTCTTATTACAGACACATGCATTTCCTAACATTCGGTCTATATGCTGTAAAATGTATTATCTCTTCGATTTACACACGGCATCTATTGCACGTCTGTCCGTCCTGGGAGAGGGATCCCTCCTCTGTTGCTCTCCCTGAGGTTTCTCCCATTTTATTTTTTTTTCCCCTTAAACTGTGGGTTTTCTCTGGAAGTTTTTCCTTGTCCGATGTGAGGGTCTAAGGATAGAGGGTGTCGTTTTTCTCATACTGATATTCTGAACAATCTGTGCTGTAAAGTGTCTGTAGGCTATTTTTATTATAGGTACAGCACTTTGGCTCGACCAAAAATCGTTTATAAATGTGCTATATAAATAAAACTTGATTTGATTTGATTTAGAAGGCGAAGCCATATACGAAATAGAACCAAAGTTACCTACTGTAACTCCAGCTTCTATGAGTAAATGGCGTAGCCCTCTAAGTGCTGGGCTCGACGAATAGCTGAAGAAAAGTTATTTTGTATGGGAGCAGATTGTCGGGCCTCCTTCCGATTTATACCGGAAGGGAGCCCGAGGGTGGGGCCCACCTTGCGGGTGGGCGTGGACTACAAGTGTTTCAGTGATGCGCGGGGGCGCAGGGGGGATTACCCAATAGGGATAGCCTTAGAGGGCTACGCCATTTACTCATAGAAACTGGAGTTACAGTAGGTAACTTCAGCTCCCGCTGCTGTAATTCAATGCAATCCCCGTTGAGGCAAGCACTGTAATTCTCTCCGGTTAGTCCACCAGCAGATAACAAACACCCACCTCTCCGCCTCTTCCAAGGAATGAGGGGACCGTGCGGCAGAGTTTCAGTTAGGTTTCCTTTCGCCGGTCAAGATGTCCGTTAAAGTTTAAATCTTCCGGACAAAATTAGAAAAGTGCCGGTCAAAGGTCTTCTTTGTTATTTATTGAGCTTTAAAACAAATGAATAACGACTCTATATAATAATATAATAAAACACGGAGATCTATTTTTCTCCCCCTCTTCTGACTTGATCAGAGCATGCTCCCCTCTTCTGCAGGGGGGCGTGGTCAGCTGCAGCTCACAGAATCAGCCCCCTGCAAAAACAGGGCTGGAGAACAGCAAATAGAGTGAAATGAGGCATGGCTAAAATACATGATCTGTTTGGTATTTTGAAAACAGAAACGTATAAATATACCTTATATAGGTATGGCCCTACAATATATCATTTAAATATAGCATGATAGGTGTCCTTTAAAGCTGGTATTTGCGTTAACTTTAGTATCCCAAAGATGTGGTGCAACAGTCCTCATTCTGGTCACCTGAATGCTCTCTTTTGGTCTCCACCATCTCCTTGGGGAACCAATTTGTCTCATCAGGTGCTAACTGTTCTACTGCAAATACAAATATGTTGCTAACTTTCAAAGTGTGCCCTTTGCTACCATTAAACCCTAGCGTAGTGCATATCTACAGTGGGAGGGTCGCCCACAGACTGTAGTGTAAGGGGTCATTTTGAAATGATCGTGATGCATAGTCTGACGGCCTTTATTGTTGTTTACAAGGGCTAAACATCGCTTTAAAAAGCCATAGCGTCAATGCACATATTACCATTAACTGTATTAGACCTAACGTGTCCAACACATAACCAGACTGATGTTAGATAAATAACAATAGCATGGAGCAAGACTTCAACGTGACGGTTAGCCAATGCAGGCTAACGTTTCTGCAGGAAAGTTAGCTAGCCTTTCTGGGCTAACAGCGACGCGGTGCCTCATAAGTTTTTTAGCTAAGATAGTTGGAAAAAATATGAAAACACAACAAACAATGCTAACTTTTAGCCAGCTCCTGCACCATATGGACGATTAGTTGTTTGTACATTGAATAAGCATTTCAGTGTTGTTGTTTTTTTATTAAGGGGAACTAGCTAGCTCCTGTCGACCTTACCTTTTTTCAGTTCGTTGATCCAAACACTGACAATGGTCCTTGAGTGTTTTCTATGATGAATGAGCCACAACGACAGCGTCTGCACACTTTGTTGTGAGTTGCTGAGCTCAGACAGTTTCTTTTCTAAAGCTGCCTCAGAGAAAGCTGACATTTTGACACGGTCGTAGGTAGAACGAGGCAGCCTTCAGGGTTCTCCCAGATGTGTTATCTACTGCAAGTTAGCCAGTAGCGTTAGAAATGTAAGCCCTACAGATTGCATGTTATACGTAAAGACTGGTTATAAATGGTAACTAGCTGCAGCCGTGCTCCCAGTAGTGTAGGCTGGCTGCCTGCTGGTTAGCTCGGGGCTAAACCACAGCAGCCTGCAGGAGCTGCTTCCGCACGGCAGCTGTGTTGCGTTCAAATCAGAGGGAATTTACAGATATAGTTTTACAGTATATGTACCATACTGAGCATTAAAAAACACTCATATCAACTATGTTTATCTTATTCTATTTACATGTATATAGACTTCTGATTTACTTGATCAGTTACAACAATAGCTGCAACATTTAGCTTATTTATTTGATAATTATTCTGAATGAAACTCTCTAAAATGAAGAACTACAGTAAAAAAAGGTTTTAGTAAGCATTTATTTTGAACAGAACATAATTGTTACACTGGTTCCAACCTAGAACACCATTGTCGACATACTATCTTTAGTGGTTCACAAAACAGGCAAAAAGAGGTCTTTCAAAAACAGAGTAAATAAATGTTGGCACAAACCTTAAGTAGGTCTTCACTTTAATTGTAAATGTAATACTTATTTGGAGTTATCTAGGCACATATTGAACATAACATACAAAGTGAAATTGGTCTTCTTTTTTTTTTTAAACTGAGCTTTAGTCTGATTTGAACCTTTATAACTTATCAGCGGTTGCTCTGAACCAATAGAATTTATAAATCACCAAAAAACTTTTCTATAACCAGATGATACAACAAATACACTTTTACTCATAGCACCAACAGTGTCAAAGGAAATAATGTTACTATCTAGGCACATTTCAGCGCAATGGTCCACAATCAGATTTGGTTTTAGATGAAAGAATAGAAGAAATTCTGATTTGAACCTTTATAACTTATCAGCAGTTGCTCTGAACCAATACAATTTATAAATCAGCGCAAAACTTTTCTGTAACCAGATGATACAACAAATACACTTTCACTTATAACACCTAATGTCAAAGGAAATATGTCACTATCTAGGCACATTTCAACACAATGGTCCACAATCAGATTTGTTTTAGATTTTGATTAAAGAATAGAAGAAATTCTGTTTAATGTAAAGAAAAAAAAAAAAAATGTGGTCATTTTAAATAACATTCAAAATGAAAGGCATAACATCCCTCCATTAGGAGATTCCCATTTCTGACAGAGACTAGGGAAAACATTTTAAGAAGAAAGAAAAATGCCACAGCACCAATAGAACCTAAGCCGGCGCATCTGTGTGCGTTTTCATTATATGGTGCTAGAAAAATGTCTCCTTCAATAGAAACGTGGTGTCAGTGGGGGTTTGCCAAATTTGCATAGTAAAAAATTGGAAATGCTAACATACATGAAGATGTTTTATCTGTACTTCCTGAAATCGTCAAATCAAACCAGCTGCTCGGTAATTAACCTCAGACTGGGCTCCATAATACCACTGAGCTTGCTGAGGTGGCATGTAAGCATTTGACTGAGACCCCCCCCATCCAACATCATCTCCACCGCTGTTTTGATGAGGTAAGTGTTGGTAAGGGTTTGTCCAAGGTCCAGCATTGTAGTTGGGGAAAGACTGCATCCCATAGCCTGCTTGGATGCCTTGATGGGCCGTAGGTTGTGCCGCATCATTTTGTGAAGCTGTCTTGACATGACCAACGGAAAACTCCATGTATGTTTGCACTTGACTCGGTTCAAACTGTGCTCCAGGCACTGGTGCATTACTGCCATTTTGTGCATGGGGATCTCCTAAGTGAGGATGCATTTGGACCCTAGCAGCATCTGTATGAGCAGCCGTATCACCAGACCAACAGTGCTGTCCCGCACTGCCTATCTGAAGACTTTGATGATTGTGTGCCATGTACTGAGTTGGCGGTTGTTGCTGGTAATAATGTTGAGTAGCATCAAAGCTAACCTCTTGGCATCTCTCAATTCTTGGGCCAACTGCACTTTGTGGAGTTGGATTGTACCACTGCTCGGTGGAACCCGTCTCATATCTGTAGACCGAGTTATGGGATGGCCAGTCCTGAGTGTGGGACACAGCAGGCGTCGACCAATCATTCTGAGTCTGTTGGCCTTCATTTGGCCCCTCTTCGTAAACCCTCTTATTTGATTTTACGTGAGAACCTTGATGTGTGTTGTAATTATTTCCCCCATAAACCTTTTGATATGTTGTTCTGGTTATGTCTTTTGAAGGGTTAAAGTATTCATTGCCATTATAATGTCCATCCATCTGTTGATACGGAGTCACTGTGACGTTTCTTTCTGGTTCCATGAATGGACCAGCCTGTCCTTCTCCACTGTGGCGATCTTGCTGATGTTGAACGGATTCTTCAGCTGGGTTTATTGCAAATGATTCAGTGTCATAGTCCACCTCACGATCCTCTGAGTGGAACTCTGGCGACTCTGGAAGATCCGAGTCCGGTGAATGGGGGAATGCAGAGGACACAGGAAGGCTGTCCATGATGAACGGACTCCTCTTCAGCAGCAGAGAACCTTTGGTTAGAGGCAGGCTTACCTTAAACACAGGATTTGTCACTCCCCTCATTTTCCTCTTAGTGCTCCTACTCTTTGGCCATTGCGAAAGCACCACGGCACATTTCTCTGGCATGCCTTGATCTGAAGGGTTGTTCACACATCACAAAAAAGTATAAACTCACTCAATGAGCAACAGGAAATTACATAAGTAAAATGTTGCTTCAATAGACACACACCTTTATTGGCTCTTTTCGGCTTTTGGATGTCTGGATGTTTCCTTCCATTACTCATCATCTTTACACCTGGAAAAGAGGAAAACAATACAGGGGATATACAAACATATGTACACAAGCATCTGCACTAAAAATCCAATGGGTAAAAGAAAAGGCAAATAGTTGATTAAATGCAGGTAAATAAACACTTGTTGGACACTGGTAAAAGTTAAGGCTTAATGAACATTAAGAGACTGACAAGAATAAAGAAGGAAAATAGTTTATGAACTACTCTCCTTATCCTTTTACAAATGTTGCTGAAAGGAGTTATGATGTCATCCTTGCCTTTTTAGTAATGCACATTAATTTCAACACTACAGTGGGTCTTAGGTCCTAGTGTCCTGTTATGGCTCGCACCATGTCAGGTAATTCTCTTGTCAACAAAAAGCTAGGGCTGTTGGTCTACAGCTGCACAAGAGATAAGAGTTGTGACTGCTCTTTTGTCTTTGGCATGCAAGGTCACAAGCAGTCTCAGAGTAAACAACAACAAAAAAGAGAGATTACGGCTGTTTTATTGAAATCCGAGGAGCCTCCAACCCAATCCATCTGATCCTATGTATGTTTAATATCCCTAGGGAAAGGCTGTGCTCCAGAATTGATAGGTATTCACTTATATGGCTCACCCTGTTTTCCTTGTACAAGTTTTAATAAACTTCAAGTGAAGCTCCAGCTGGTTTCTTTGGTTTCCACTCTGCTCACTAAGGGTTATCTTCTACAAGGGCTGAAAGGTTCTACTTTTTATCTCATCTCATGAAGAACTGAGGCTTGGGGTCTCCTTGGTTTCATGGGGATTACGGCATGCATTCTTTTTTTAAAGTCAGGAGGAAGTTGAGTTTTCAAACTAGAAGAACACCACCTGTTTTAAAGAAATGAATCTGAGGTGAATAGTTTAAGGGCAAAAAAGAAAAAAGAGGATGGACGTGCATCTGTACTTACACCAGTGGTAACTTTTACCAGTCAGTTGAATACCGAGTGATTCTGGTGTCTTGATCACCTGGGAAAAATCACAGCATTTCGATGGAAAATGAGTACAAGTGAACTCTAAACCTTTATCGTAAATAAATGAACAAATAGGTTAGCATTCCCAAGGCAGGATAATCTGTAAATACAGTAAAAGAAAAAATATATTACCTTCATCTCCCCTCTGCCCTCTTCTTTCTCCACCTCCATGGCCAGTGATACGAGAAGCTGATAGTCGTCATTAATATCTGCCAGAATGACCTCAACCTGCTCAGGATGAGTTTCCATCTACACAAAACAAAAGTTTTACTTAGCATTTTCTATACAGCCTTTGGATGTAGTATTTATGCTCTTGTTCATTTCAATCATTGTTCCACAACAAACATACCAAGTAGTTGATGAGATGGGAAGTTCTGGTTAGGTGATCAATGATGTCATTCTCGTTGGCTCTGATGCGGCAGCAGTGACATAAGAAACAGTATGTGCGGCCATCTTCACCTCTGCATTCAACAACCCGGAGAAGACCTGTGGCAAACACATGGAAGCAGCTTCTGTTAAAGCAGGAGTTTGACATTTTGGAAATGTAACTGATTTGCTTTCTTGCAACAAGATAGATAACATCATTACCTATCTCAGGACTTATTAGTAGTAATAGAGGCGAAGTCCCGCCCATCTACTTCCGACCCATGGGACCTTATTTCGGAAAAATTATGTATTGAAGTCAATGGGGAGAGAAAGATTATCTTTCGATCCCGTTTGAATTGTGCCACGATTTACACATATGATGATTGTCAATCTTAAAAAAGAATTTCCATGTCAAAAAAGTCACAATTTGTCGTAAAACTGTTGAAATATCAGACTATGGAAAATACGCAACTAGAAAGACTACAAATCCCAGAATCCCGCATGCTGTCTCTTACGGAACCGACTAACTCCCCTTTTGTGTATGAACAGCTCTCAACATTCCCAGACTTGGAGTGATTTTCACCTCTTTTAATACTTTTCGCCTCATTCTGAAAGAAAGAAGTGAAATGTGCCAACGTGACAGCCGTGGGACGGGAGATGTAGTTCATTGAGCGGTTTCACACAAACAAAAGTGTTACTTCAGTTTTACAACACTTTTTTTTTTTTTTTTACTTGCAAAATTATCTTTTAAATTGACAAACATCATATGTGTAATTTGTGGCACAATTCAAACGGGATCGAAAGATAATCTTTCTCTCCCCATTGACTTCAATACATACTTTTTCTGAAATAAGGTCCCATGGAGGTCCCCCAGAAAGGGAGGGACTTCGCCTCTCTATGTAGCTACAGACAGCAATGTGTATTTATGGATGCCGTCTTTGCATGTATAGCCAAGTTTAAAGAATAACATGAGCTTGAAACATGGCTTGTGAATATGCTAGTAAATTGTATTTAGACGAGCTACAATAGGAAGACCTTTATATATTTTTTTGTGCTCACCAATAAGAGGCTCGGTTCCCGTGTAGCCATCCAGAGAGCTGCTGCAGTTCTCTGATGGCAGGGAGGGTTCAGGTGAAGTGTTCTCTAAACGCCGTGTGGACTTGATTACATCTATTGTTAAATTTGTCTCTGGCACTTCGGAGATCTGTCCTTGTCGGTTTTTGGAAAGTAATACAATCCTCTGAGATTGGGGGGAATCTTGCTCCGGCTGTGTAGATGTGCTCTCTGAAAGGCTTTCAGTTTCACCCTGCTGGTCTCTCAAGATAGTTATCAGAGTTACTGCTGTGGTGTTAAAAAGAAAAAGAGACTGATGTGGAGTAAAACAAATCAAATAAAAGTGGGACATGCATATATAGGAAAAAAAAAAGACACATAATAGACAAATGAGAAGAGGTGGAATTGAAGAGGGTTTGAGACTTGTGTTACAACTCACTGACCGTCATTCTCGCTGTTTGTTGCTATCCTCTGGTATACAGCATCTTCGAGCTCTAACCACTTTATATGAATGTACACACAAAGATGTGAGGGCTCATATCCAAACATGCATCTGTTTGCATCCACAACGTACACAGTTAAACAACATACCTGGACGTCTCCGGGCCCTTCCTTCCCCTCAAGTGTCTTAGCCATCTCCATGAGTGGCCAGGCCAGCTTAGACAGGTCAGACTTCTCCTTCCATTCAGACACTAAGTGGGGGTGCCAGGCTTTCTGTGAAACACAACAACACTTAATTACCTAAGATCCAAGTCAGCACATAAACTCTTATCGTGACTTCTTCTACAGTACTACTTACAATGTAGTTGTATCTGTGGAGACTTCCCATGATGTGGTTTCGCATGTCAGCTTTATTAAGTTGACACACACATACCTCACACAGGAACAATATTTCTTTGTTATGTGTACCGGCCTTCACACATTCTATAATACTGCCCAGGCCTGAATGTACATGAAGTGACAAGTTATTTCAATACAGGCTGTACCAAATACACCGAAACTTCATTAATAACGTTGGGTTTAAAATACTTCATTAAACATACTATTGCTGAGCAGCGTTTTTTTTGCTCTTCTATTTATTCGTATTAATGGTATTTCTGCATAGTTGCAGATAAATATTATTATTATAACATCAATGCAGTCAAAAATGTTTTGCTCTCCTGCTTGCGGCACACACACGGGACTCATGTGACTGACGAGTTATATTCGTTAAAGCAATTTTATTTAGTAAAAAAGACTAACTCCTTAACTCCAACAAATCTAATTGTCGGATCAAGGATTTCCTTTTTCTTAGGGATATGATGCTGTAAAATGTGATGACAGACACAACAAGAGGAAAACATTTGCTACAGCCCAACAGGATACACAACATACACAAAATAAGTATTTTTTTCTACAGACCGATGATGGGTTGTAATCTGCTCTTGTTGTTCAGATAAACCTTCAGAGAATCCAACAGCTGGCTTTTGGTAGAAACACCTACAAACAGAGAATGCATCAAAAACACTTAATAAAAAAATAGTGTAGGCATGGCAGACCTGTCAAAGAAAGACATACCTTTTTGTGCTTCAACCGGCTGCATACTGCCTTTGTAGAATCACCACCTGCATACAGTTAAGGTTGGAGATTACAGTTATTACTTATAATTTGCCTTTGTTTGTGCCTGAATAGTTATTAAAAAAGTAAATTAGGGTCAGCCATGATCGACCTCTGACCATCGTTATCATAAAACTATAAACTCTACCTAAAACAGCAGTCCCCATGTAGAGGAAAATGTATTTTAATGTCATGTAAAGTTTCCCTTATCCTCACTAAGTTTACAAACCTTCACTCTACATGGTGAAACAAAGTATTAGGGTCCGGTTATATTTGTTTCACCACAATTTTCAGGAAAATGTGCAATACCCTGTGCCTTTACATGGTGAATTAACACAATTACAACTAATACTTCAAGTCATTTTTGACATATTTCGTTTTGTGAGAGTTGTGTACATGTCTAATCCAAAGACAGTATATGTCATATCCTGCTTGTATCTGAATTTTAGATTTGTTATACTAATAAAATGACCATAGAAAATAATAAACTGTGCCTTTTTACAAACTAGCCACAAGATGGCGCGCAATATCAACACATTGTTCAAACAGGATTGTGACTTTTCAAAAGTTTGAAATAAAATGTTAATGTTTTTAATTATAAAGAAATAAAAAACTAAATCATATTTAACTGTTATTCAACGATGTAATTATGGTAGCCTTCTGCAAATAATGAATGCCAACGTTCAATAAGTTTGTAGTCCATATACAGAGGTATGTAGACACTTCAAAGTGAATCATAGCAGCAGGAAATGGGGTTACACAAGACACAGGAAGTCTTGTACTGCTGTCACTGATAAACTGATAGAACTATTCAGTCTTTACTTTAGTAATAGTACCAATACTATGGGCATTGATATGTCTCATAATTATTTGTGTGAACATAACAATTCTTTGTGTATAAATATGTGATTTGTAAATGTAAAACACCATCCACAAATGCATTTAAAGATTTGCAAACTCACAAATAAATTTGCAAATGTAGCCATTACTGACAGCCTACTAGGTAAATACACACTTCTTGTATAAAACTGACCTTTAATACTCCATAAAATACTGCAGATCCTTTATCTTACCTCTTTCTAATCTACACACATACAAGTATTTAACTGAAGTTACACAACAATGTTGTTGATACAGAGTTGGAGTTTATTCACACGTCACTACAGTGGGTAATGTTTTCAAGAAACATTGAACAGTGCAGCCACATATGACACAGGAAAAAAAGAAAAGACTCTGAACCCTTTCTTTGCCATTATATAAAAATAGTGTTGCTACAAAAGTATAAATTAGGCTTACTAATAAGACAACTCAGATCTGAAGCTACACAGGAATCTGCTGCCAAAGTGCAATAAAAAAGACAACATTTATAGAATCAAACCCTTTTTTTGTTGTATTTTAGTCGAGTATAAAAAGAAATTTCTTTTTAAAATAGGATGCAAGCAATACTAGTTTCTTAACCTGAATTGATAATAGACTATAATCAATTTAAGTTTGCAGTCTTATACCATTTTGTACAATAATTATAATGAATAAGTTCAAACAAACTAAAACTTAAAGCTGATTAATAACGGTATCTAACTTGAGTTTTTATTATATCAAAAACCTGTTGAAATGCTTCTGTTATTTTTACTGTCCCCTAAAAGCGCGTGGGCAGCCTCCAGGAATGCTTCTTTCACAACTTCGCCGTCTTTGACTTCATGTGTTACGCAAGAACGTGATTGACACGATAAGATGCTATGGTAGCAGCCTTGCTCTTGTTGTTGGGCCTGGTGAAAATGGACTGCTGTGCATTTAGCTGTCCTTTCAGGTCCCTCACCTTTTGGAGCGTAGGGCAGAATTAGGAGGGAATTCCGTCTCGTAGCTTTTGTGCATTGTTTTGAAATGCCGCTCCTAAATGACCCTTCTTCGATAAAGCCTCGCATTGCAGATGAGACAGATGGACTTTGAATTGGAATAGATACAAAAATGATCATCCTCCCACTCGGAGTGAAAATTATATATTTTGGGATTTTTTGCTTCTGCCATAATTGTGATCTTGTGTGTGTGCGGACTGTCACTCCTGTTGACACGGACAACGTCAGCGAAATAGTGCCCACTGCCCACCAGCCACGCCCCGACACATGGGGTCACGCCGGCCAATCACAAAGCTTTGGTGCGTTCAAGTGCATTATTCTGGCACGGGAAGATTATGTTATAGGACATTAACGATATAACAGAATATTGTTGTTCTATTTTTAGACACATCTCGCGATCGACTGGGAATCTCCCCGCGATCGACCGGTCGATCGACTGGTTGGGCACCCCTGCTTTAGACAAACAATTCAAAAGACAACATGTATTTAAAGACCAATCTTTATTTGAAGGTGCCTCTTAACCCGATATATTAGTTATACAGTAATAGTATTGACAATCTAAAAAAACTGAGCAACTCAACAGTCAACTGTATATTTCTTATTGTCTAAAGCATTTATTATTTTCATTTTCCCCCTCTCATATTCAGTGTGGACAGATTGAGACAGCGTGGTGTCCAGAGAGCTGCAGAGACTTCAGGGTGAAACCTCTGTGTGATGGACGTCCTGTCTGTTGGTTTGGAGAGGACTGAGGGTCTTTCCTCTGCGAGGAGGACCAGGCCTGATGGAGGAGCCCATGCTGGGCATAGCTGATACCAACTGCACAGGCCTAGTCTGTCGCATAGCTGATACCAACTGCACAGGCCTAGTCTGTCACTTTATTTGACTAAATGTGTTTACTTATACATTTAATAGGTTTACACCTTCTGTCCATATGTGCTTTTATTTAAAACATTTGATTAACTTTTGGTTCACATTTCAATAAATTGTATTTGCACTCCTTTTGTCCATTATTCTTACTGAAAATGTTAGATTACACATTCACATCTGACTGAAGATTATTTGTGACGTTGCAAACTCTGCGGTACAAGGCACAAGTGATGTGAAGCTCATAAAGCGAGGCAAATAGAAATAATCAGCTGATGGAGTGTAGATGTGGAAATAGCTGCATTCGATCAGCTGACTGTTTTCACAATAAAAGTGTAGTTTCTTAGCGAATGTCCTGTACTGGTCTTAAAATCTCATAACATCAGCTTTTAATGTTCCTCTTGGATGTTCTTCTTGACCCTCAGAGAAGGAGAAAATGTCGTGTCTTTCAGACATGTCCTTTCCTAACAAAAATGACAGGAAACATAAAACATATTATTGCAGAACAAGTGTGTTATTTATGAAAGCGGTGTGTTTGTGTGTTTAGGGGCTGTAGATATAATTATTTTGTAATTGTAATTTTTTTTTATTTCAACAGAGCTACAAAGACAATCAGATTATGAATGAACAGTATGAAGTTCATCAACATTGAAATATATGTTATTATCAAAATAATATTGAACTGTTATCAAAACGTAGTGCAACTGTAGAAGCTTGCTCTGTTGTCTCACTGAAAGAATAACTTTTACCACGTTTTCTACAGACAATATTGAGAGATAAATAGTAGCAGACAGTTCTCACTATGTGTTAAATATCTTTGCCTTCAATACATTAAATTAGAAAGCTGACAAAGTCATATTGCTAAATATCTAAAATGTAACTATTTGCATGGAAAAAACCCTCAACTTAAAGGGATAGTGGAAATCCGCGAATTTTGGGTTTAACTTATGTATTTTTATTAAAAATGAGCATAATAAACAATTTTTTTTAATTTCATGCGCCTAGTTTCATTTTATTTTCAATTTTACTGTGCCATCTCAATGAAACGAAATACTTCGGGAATCGTCGGGAATCTTCGGGTGATGACGAGAGCATAGGAAGACGGGCACAAACAATGGCGGACATTCAATAGCATTTGCATGTGAATAGCCGACCTTTATTATGGTGAATAGATGTGTTTTGTATGGCTGTAGTGCGACAGCAAATGCAGAGAATGGCGTATCGACGCATGCGTTTCCAAGAAACCCAGCCATTCGTCGTCAGTGGGTGAAATTTGTTCAGATAACACGGGCAAACTTCACGGAGCCGAAGCTGACGAGTAATTCGGCAGTCGTGTGCTCCCGTCATTTTACTGACGATTGTTTCGAGATTCCTCGGTCTCTAGCTCAAATTGAAAGTGGAATACATAAGAAGTGAGTATTTTATTATGTTTTCTTGTTGATTTAATGCATCATTAGCCTGTACCATTTTGTACAACGCCATTTATCCAGTACACAGTGTCGAATGTGTACACTACAGTCATCATATAGACATGATAGACTAACAGTACTGTGAGTACAGCCTACACTTGACAGGCAGCCTGGCTAGCCTAGGATTAGGACCCTACTACGTCAAAAGACCGATTGGCTCTAGCTGTATATCATGCTAGTATACAATTCATTTCAATTTATTCATGTAATTAATGCCCATAAGGCTGTTACATATACAATAATAATTGTGACAAGATAATTTATGTGAACCTGACCCTGGTATGTTATGAAATCACCTCGGGCTCGGGCTCGAACAAATAAGGACGTAATGGTCCATCGTCTGGCTCAATATTGTCACCATCGTCGCTTACTGAACCGGATTCAGATTCAGTTCCTAAAACGACATTTTCGTAGGAAAGCCGAGAGGATGTTTCTGACTCGCTATCATCACTGGATACCTCGTACAATCCTTCTTCTTTGTCTGGTATATTTGCCCTTCCACGTTCATTCTGCATAGACGCCATGGTTTGTTATCGTATCGTCTTCCTAAGTTTTCGTCACTTCCGGTTTGGCTGAGTCGAACATTTCGTTTCTAAAAAACTTCGGGGAAGCTGCAATAAAGTGCTTCTAACATGCGTAAGGCAATTATTATATTTTTTTAATCAGGTGTGATTGTTTTGGTACGTAATTATGCTTGTATATAAGTTAAAACGAAACTATTTGAGGTTCCATTTCCACTATCCCTTTAACTGATGTGTAGGTGATCTAGTATTTAGTATTGTTTAATGGAATACATATCAGTGTATTAAAGTCAATACTTCA